GAGAGGATGCTTGGCTCTGAAGACAAATCAGAGGCAGTTGATGAAGTACAGCTGCATACAAAGGGCTATGTTGTCTAGGGGACACACAGCAGCGGGGTGGGGGGAGTTGGGGGGCTTCTGGTGTCATGGCTTCCACTACCCAGCAGCTTAGGCGCGAGGCTTTTTGTCTGAAATACGCAGAGTGTTTTCTCTTTGTGTGAGGCATCTTACTGCTCAGAGGAGAGGGAGGAATTAAGGCCTGGGGTGTGTGTGTGTATGGAATTCTTCTGTCCCACTGCAGCTGGGTCAGGGATAGCTGAGAGGAGGCGGGAATCACTGGAGGTTAATGGAGAGCTCTTTTTAATAGAGTATCTTCTTACACCGTTTTTCTGTCCATATAAACTCTGTCTGTGTGGTCCACACTGCCCTAGAGGACTCCTGGCAAGCCATATTTCTCTCACCATTTAAAAACTTCTCCCTTTCTCCCCCACCCCTTCTGAAGGTATGTCTCCCATGAGGGAAGGAAGAAGGGACTCCCCAGGCTGGGTTGACAGGGAGGGCTGGTCCTGAGGTGGTGGTCCCGGTTTGGATGACAAGGAGGGCCAATCCTGAGGTAGGCTAGGCCAGTTAGCAGCTAGCTGATCCTCCTCTGCTGAGGTGGTTTAGGCTGGGCTGACAAGGAGGGCCAATCCCTGAGGTAGTGTAGACTGAAGGCTAGGATGAATTTTAAGAACTAAGCGTCTCAAGACCAGGCTGCTCCGTGGCCTGAGCCTTCCCTAGGCCCTTCAAAAGCCACAGATTCTGAGCAGAAGAAGCCCCTACTGAGGTGAAGCCAAGTTGGGGTGAAGCTGTCAGCTGTGTGGATCTGGCCATGTCCTATGACCTCCTGGGTTCGTTATCATTGTTGACAAAAGACTACTACTCTCAGAGTTCCTGTGGGAATGACTTAGCTTGTGTGTGTGTGTGTGTGTGTGTGTGTGTCTGTGTTTGTGACAGCCAACACAGTCCAGTTGATCATGAGCTATTTCCATAAAAATGATGGGAAGTGTTGACACGAAATGCGCCATGTGAAGGACAAGAAGGCTTGTTTACATCATTGAACAAAGGACACATCCAAACTCTGGTACATACCCAAAAACTAGAGCAGTGATCCTAACCCCAGCCAAGAGTAGATACCCAACTACGTTGTCTCTCACCAGTATGCAGTGTTACCCTCCCCCCCAATCAGGACGTTGTTCATTGTGTCCTCAACAACAGCTCTCCCAACCAGGGTTCTCTTCCCTGAATCATGGAAACACGATCGCCCCTGTCAAGGTCTACCCTCAGAGCAGGGTCTGCAGTTGAAGAACCTGGCCAAAAGGCTAGGTAGGGACGTGGGACCTCGGGCTACCCATGTGTTAGAGCAGTGAAGATTCATCCATCAAGGGAAAATCCCTGGTCAAGAGGGCAGATGTTCTCTCTGTTCAGGGCTGCACCATTTCACCCTTGGGAAGGCAGACTCACCTTAAGCTGTAAGGGACAGGTGCAATAATGTTTCCTTCAGGAAGACACTCTACTCATTCTTCACAGAATCTCACCCCCAGTGCAGCAGCTCACAGAGCAGCAGCGAGGCAGCTTCATAAATCAGCCCTCTTTACCGAATTACTCAGAAAAGTCTAACCTTTCCTTTCCATATTTTCTGCCTATGTCCTAAGCACACTCTCCCTAACACTTTGGGTTTCCTCATTTTTTAAAAAAGTCCCCCTCACTGCCATGAACTGTTGGTCCTCTAGTCTGTCCTCCTCCGTGCTGGCTCAAAGAGAGCGACTTTTCCCCTTCTCCCCTCTATCCTCTTCCTATGGGTGACTGCTAAGATTTACAGCTTGCCTGCCCTGGGTGTTTTCCTTTTAAGCTCTACTGAAATCTCCTTCAAGCTTCTGTTTGAGTCACTCCTGAATTCTTCTGTTAATGAGCCCTAGGTCCCCGAGAGGAGACCCCAGTTTCCACCTGAGGGGACAACATTACAGGAAGCAGTAGGCCAGGTGAGGACAGTCCAAGAAGAGGATGGAGACTTCAAAAACCCTGGGCAGTTACCCAGGGCCTGCCTGAGGGAACCCAGGGGGACCTGTGAAGATTCCTTCTCTTAGGATGGAGTAGAAACCTGGAGAAAATGTGATGGAAACAGGTGTCTGGTGGGTGACCATGCCACACACTACATTGGCACAGCGGCCAGCTGCTTGCTCGGGCTCAGCCTCAAAAGGACAGCTGAGGCAAACCGTGTGTGTGTGTGTGTGTGTGTGTGTGTCACTAAAACAAGAAAAGAATGCTCTACTCGTGTTTTGTCTACTGGGAGGTGGAAACATGTTTAACATATGCCCCGCCCCGCCCCGTCCCCATTAAACACAAATAAGTCATAAATGATCATTATGGTGAATGATCTCTTTCCACACGAGTAAAATGACTTTTCATCTTAACACGGTGTAGAAGGAAAAGCAATGCAGAGGCGATGGCCAAAGAGAGTCTGTGGAGAGAGAGGTGGGCACAAGACGGCCCTAGGGGCCATACTTACTTGTCCTTTGGACACCTCCATTGTAACTTTCACTAATGGTGGGTATGTAAATCTGGGGCCCACAGGTCACATCCAAAAAGTGAGTCCTCCACGCTTGTTTCCTAAAAGTGAAAGCCCGTTTTCCAGGAGAAGGGGATAGTTTTTGTTCCTGTAGGGATGTCGAAGCTTAGAAGGAAGTGGCTGATACACATGACCAAAATCTTAGTGGTCTTAATAAACGTCCTATTTTTTTTCTTTCCCATCCCTTACACAACGGGAATGGGTTACCTCTTCCAAGCGCCGCTCCTAGCATCTTTGAGAAAACAGAACGTGGCCTTCGGCCCGCTTGAGTGTGCCTCCAGACGTTAGAGGGTCTCCTCCGTCAGTGTCTTGGAAGCGCTCGTTGTTAACACTGACCTTTCTGGAATCCACCCCCCCCCGCCCCCAGGACACATGGAAGATGTGCTGATGCCCGAGGATTCGAGGCAGCGAGAGGCAAGGAGTTTTCTTCCACCGTCTGCATCTCCAGGGGATGTGAGCAGACTTGACAGACTTCCAAGTTGGGACATCTGGACTCAGCCCCCGGTTTTGTGGCTGGCCGGGGGCACGTGGCCATTTCCTTTGTTTTTCATCTGTGAGATGGGAGCAAATGAACGGAGGAGCCTGTTTGTTACTCGTTGGGCACTCTACGGTGGAAGGGGGCGGACAAAGAGTTATTCCAGACTCTGAGTCCTAAGAAGAGGTCAGACATTTCAGCTAGTAACGTGCGTCCTTGAAATAAAAGGTAAGGAAAAGTGTTTTGTACCAACTTGCTTGCTGAATGCGGACTTTCTTGGGATGGTTTCAGAAGTCAGAAGCACACAGCATTTGCTTCTTTTTGTTCGTTTGTTTGTTTTGTACTTATATGCTTATGTGATTTGTTTGCTCCGTCCTGCCTGGCCCTGGACTGTCCGAACCTTAAGAATTTTGGTGTGATGTTCTCCTATGACCTCCATGTCAGAAGAGAGGTGAATGCTTGATAGATCAGAGTTTGAAGACATCTTCGAATAGCTGTGTCTCTAGAAGAGTCTCATTCTTCATGTGAGAATTCCTTCCTTTTATGGAGGCATAAGCCAGGTCTACCCCTCCTCATAAGGGCCCAGTAGCAAACAAAACTATCATTCCCTCCAAAGTTCAACTTGGGGAAGAAATGAGTTTACTGGACTCACCCATGGCGTGGGTGAGGGGTTGCTGGCAGGAATGTGACTGACCTCAAAGCACCCATACTGGGAAGCCTTCCACACAGCATGGACAATGGCTTCCCTATACCCACATAGATGGAGGCCCTCTCAATTAATTTCCCCCAGCCCATGTACTCTATCATCTCCCGAGATCCCAAGGCTAAGTGCCATTAGGGAGAATTGCATAAAACGACTTGGGATGGGCAACTGGAATCGTGGGTGAGGGTTCAGTGACCCTTCCCATGCTCCTCTCCGTTGAGAGCATGTCAACAGTCCACAGGCCCGCTCCCAGTGTCCTCTTGAAAAGTAGGCACAGATAATCTGATGAAACTGGGGCGGTTTTGTTCAGAGGATACCATTCTACAATCCCATCTTTCCACAGCCTCAGTGCTGTCCCTCTCCAGAGGACTCAGTGTGCAGGCCAGGGCAGGGTAGGAGCTTTTTGCTTAGTCTCAGAGCTCACATGGATCCCCAGAACCGCAGAGGAGAGGAAAGTCAGAGGCCAGTTTGCTGCTTTACTCCCTAAGGAGAGCCCTGACAAGTCAATTGATTCTTTGTTCTCAAAAGTCTTCCCGGCTGGCTTTCTGTGTGAGGTAGAATCTGGGCCTTTTCTTGTGAAGCTACCAGCCAAGGTTAAACTATTTCAGCCATTCTGTCCTTTTGCAGAACCTGGTGTGCAAAAATCCCCTTGGTTTCCATCCAGGCTTGTTGCAGAGCACCCGGAATGCTTGCCCAAGCTGTTTAAAGCGGCCACATCAATGTGTGAGCTCACCTCCCCCTAAATTTGCACTAGTAAAGGCAGTCATAAGCCTCACAGATCTGTGTCCCATCCCCAGGGTTAACCTGAGGAAAGTTGCGGGATTTCGCGGTGCTCTCAGAGGCCTTATTGCAGAGCCAATGACCAATCAGCACCTCAGAGGGCTTCGTTCTGGTGAATGCAAAGCCTTAGGAGAGCCAAGGCTCAGTGGGGACCCGCCAAGGCGAGGACAGAAGGCGCCTCAGGGCAGGAGGGCGGGGCGCAGTGCATCTCTGGGAGCTGTGTGAGTGTGCATGCCTGTAAGGTTTGCCCTTGCATTCGCTTGAAAAAGGTGTGCAAGCAGCACCAACACGCGTTTGCCGGGTCCTGGTAGCCCTTGCCTTCTCCTTAGCAGCCCTGAGCTCCGGGCGGCCCCTGCGCGGGCGCGGTGGCCGAGGGAGGTGGAGCCGAGGGAGGAGATCTGCCGGCGGGAGGGCGGAGAGGGCGGGAGGGGTGGATCCGGGAAGCTAGGGCTATTTGACAGCACCAGGGGCAGCCGCAAGAGTCCTAGGAGCTGCCCGCCTGAGTGCAACTGGAGGGGCCCGTGAGGTCTCCACCAGCGGCCGCAGGACCGCGGAGCAGCTCTAACTTGCTCGCCCGTCCACTCGCTCGCACACCGGATCACCGCCGCGTGCCAAGACGCAGCGCGTGGAGCGCCTGCCTCGCGTGGTCCCCTCAAGCGTCACCATGCTGCCACCGCAGCTGTGCTGGCTGCCGCTGCTCGCCGCCCTGCTACCGCCTGTGCCTGCGCAGAAGTTCTCGGCGCTCACGGTAAGTCCCGAGCCTCATCCCCACCTTCCCCGTTCGTTCCACGCTCGGAACTCATGCTCCCCTCCGGGACAAGGCTCCAGGAGCAGGTGGCCCGGTGAGCTCCAACAGGTGGGTCCGGGACAGTCCCATGGCATGCGCGTAACCAGGCTCGGTAGCTACTCGCATGTGAAGGGCTGCAGGTCCTACCAGTCCTGGAAAGAAGGTAGCTGGAACACGGGCATGTCCGTAGTTCTCACTTTGGGTGGAAGGGACGAGCGCAGAAGCCAGTATCTGGGCCACCGATGTCCAACGCTGTCTCAGGTTGAACTCACCTTAACAGGGCACCCACCTTGCCACCACCGACCCAGCCTGGGGTTAGCAGGCCAGCAGTTTCCAACTCGGGCTCCTCGAGGACCCACTGTTTCCCGTGGGGTGAGGGAAGGGACCGCAGCCCGTGGACTCTACTTGTGGCGGAAAGTCGCAGAGATCCCTTTCAGGAGCCGGGGAAGAAACAGAAATGCTATTGAATTAAAGACCATCTTTCTTTTGTTGAGGAACTCATAGAGGAGGAAAGATCTGCGGCACGGGAGGCACAGAGGAGCCTCCCTGGTCTCCTGGGTCCTCTCCCCAGTGGCAGGATGCTGTGCGCGCCAGGCGCGCTCCCGGGGCGCGTGTGGCTCTGCGGTTGACCGCTCTAAGTTTGTCTCTCTTAGTTGCAGTACTGGTTACGCCAAGGAGAGAGGTGAGGTGCCAGAAGCCGAGCTGTGGATGGGGGTTGAGCCCATCCACCTCGGGCCAACACAACCGCGGCCACTCCGCCAGGCCGGTGTCTGCAGATCCCAGCGGGCAGTCCTTGTGTGGCTCCCGCGCTAGCGAGTCCATAATTAATGCAATCTGCAGAAACGAAAGCATTCCACTTAAACGTGTTTTTGAACAAGTGCTTGAGAAAACACTAAGGTGGCGAGCAGGCCCCTGCCGAGAGGAGTGTTGCTGTGGGCAGTGCCTGGAAGGGTGCTTATCCTATGGAAAACCGGGGGCTCGCCCACGAGCTGAGGCTCTTTGCAAAGGCGAAGCAAGCAGGGCAGCCTGTTGCTTTTTTCTTTCTCTCCCTCTCTCTGTTTTTCAGCAGCTTGAAGAGGGAAGATTGAGTGAGTTCGTTGTTCATACCTAAAATTCTTCTGGAGCAGTCCCAGGGCCCTGCCTTGTGTCTCATGAGTGACTGATAGATTAGAACCATAGCTAGAAGCCGGAGGGATTTTTCACCCACTCAATCTTGCCCTATCCTGAAAGAAGCCCGAAAAAACTGCATGCATGCATTCATATATGGATATGTGATGTGTGGATAGATGTGCATGTATAAACAGAGCTCACCCACACAGTCCAAGTAAATTAAAGTCCACGGGGAAACGGACCAATTCTCAAAAACCTTAGTGCCTTCTATCTTTCGGATTTCCAAGCAGCAGCTGCCTGCAGTTACCACACTTTCCCTAAAAGAACCACATCCCTTCCGTGTGTGTGTGTGTGTGTGTGTGTGTGTGTGTGTGTGTGTGTCTGTGAGTGAGAGAGAGAGAGACAGACAGACAGAGAGAGAGAGAGAGAGAGAGATAGAGATTGGTAACTTAGCACATTTTCTATTCTTCTTGTCCTGTTGTCTTGCCTTTTCAGAAAACTTCTTGCTTTCAAGCTCTCATACTTTATCTCCTTATAACTTTGCAAGGGTTTCCTGGGCTCCATGGGTGCCAGCAGCTTGTGGGGTCCCTTTAATCTGGCTGGGAGTTGGTCTTACACCAGACAGGAAGTGAGTGTCCCATTTACTGTGCTCCCCAAGAACACTTTGCTTTAAAATCACAGTAACACAAAAACATTTGCATCCTGGAGAAATATTTAGAGCTATAAACTATTGTCATGATTCTTCTCCCCTTGCTCCCCCAACCTAGAAAATTAAGACCGTGGTTGCAATAGAAAGTACTTGAGATATAACTGAAATTTGAGTGGTCAGCCACTGCGAAACTTAGGTGTTCTGGATTTTTCTGTGTTGCTAATCACTTTTCAAGTTACCTTCTGTTTGTTGGAGAAGTCTTTGGGTTCCTGAAGCCTAGCATAAAGAATGGTCTCCTCTGTACAAGGACTGCATTCTGCCTCTAGTAAATGACGGAAGTGTTAGTCTGTAGGGTTGCATGGGACTGTGTTCACAGAAGTGCATGGGACTCAGTCCATGGCAGTGTGTGGCACTTTCAGTCTACAAGGGTGTGGGATTCACAGTTCATGGGGATGTGTGAGAGACAGGTCTTTTCTTGATGGGTGTCTGATCTTATGCAAAAGACTTTTTGGTCCTCTGTGGTGGTCTTACCTATAGAATGGGGATGAAGGCTACCTAGCATGCCCTGAGGGTTAAGGCTTACATTTGTTACACCTGGGCCATGCTCACTCTCCAATCCAGATCATGTGGTTGGTTCATGAGTTTCAGAAACCATAACCACCAGCTCACACGCACTGGTGGTGCCATTAAGGAGTACTTATTGGCACAGTAGATCTCTTGCTTGGCTTAGCTGACACAAATTGTGGGCTGTCCAGGTAGATGGGAAGGCGTGTTTTCTGCCCCCCCCCTTGTCCTGTCCATTTCCTCTAGAAACAGGTAAACTGATTCACTTCTCGGGGAGGGAGAATACATGGGCAGAGCCAGCCTGTGGATTTTTCTCTCTCATGGTCTGGTTGTGCACATGGTGTTCTTTCAAGTAAGCATTGGGCATTCCGCTGCCTGCTCTGTGTTATTCAGCTTGGGTCTTTGGAGGGCAGGAGAACGGGAGGACAACATTTTGCATGTGTGGGTTCAGAAGCATCGGCGATGATTGGTCCGTGGTCTACTGTTGATTGTCCAGTCCCCTTCTGCACTCGAGTGATGGTGGAGGTGTGTATGGACCACACCACTATGACACGTCATCCCTCAGTCTGGGCGTTCAGCAGAACCATCACTGGGCATACACTTTTGATGATATCCGGTGCTCTGAGAACACATGAGACAGATGCAAAGGTTGTGAAGGAGGAGGGAGCTAAAAGACAATGCTTTCTACTAGGAAATCACGTACACGACGTCTAAACCCCAAAACTGTACCTTAGATTTGAAGTGTGGATCATGAATAACTTCATGATATGTAGGATATAATAGGATATGTAGGAGTGCCTGGAAGCATGTGGTCTATCATGGCTCAGGGGGTTAAAACAAAAGAATCTTCCACCTTTGTGGCCAGTCAGGACTATAAGATGGGGAGGCCATAAGGCTGTCTGTGGCCTGCGGGATTGGAGGTGAAAGATGCTATTTATATAGGTTAAAATTATATTAAGACACATGATTCCACATATGCAAGCGCAACCTTACAATGAGGAAATTCCACGCGTACTTTGAAACTAGAGAAAAAATCGAAGAGATAGTTTCTCCTCGCGGATGAGTTCATTTGCAAGAGGTGAAATGGACAGCTCTGTGTGAGATCAGGTAGGGGGCAGGGTTCTGCCACTAATTGCGTGTTTTAGACTTTGAGCATCCATGCACTTATTAAATACTACATTGCAGCCCACATGAGCAGTTTCAGAATATGAGTTGATGTTTCATTGAGTTCTAATTTCACATGGACTAAAAACCAAATCACTCCAAGTGGGAACCATGGATACATTCTTCTGTGGTTTTATAGTTGCAGGCTGAAAATCAAAAAGCAAAGGTTGTAATTCAACACAAACAAACAGCATGGAGGAAAGTGTCAGCTCACATTTGTATTTCAGAATTTGAAAAGGAATCACAGATGGGAATTTTGTACTATAATATCTGGCCAAATTAACCAGATTTTCAACACCAGGAAGGTCACAGGACGGCTTCACTTGGATGAAACACAAGAACATTCACACTCCGCATTGCGGCTCACGGTAAAACCGGCGCAGGATACACACATGCGAACACACACTCTTTCTCACATCATTGCTTTCCTCTTGTCCTCGGTTTCCCTTCTCCCTCCATTCGCCTCCTGACACAGTTACATTTGGGGGCCCCTTGACTCCCCTCTTCTCGCCAACCCGTAAGAGACTCTCTTTTCCTCCTGGCCCTCACTGAAGCTCCAGAAGGGAGTTCTCTGTTGGCTTCTGTGACTCACACTCTCAGTCCTGTGTTGCTGCCCTGGGGTCTGTGGTTTTGGGGGCCTCTTGGCAAGGGTGGGACACCAAGCTCTTCTTGTCCCCAGAACCCGGCACCAACAGGGAAGACTCCTGTCGTTGTTGTTAGACGTGACCTCTAACAACCATGAGGACCCAGAGGGCCAGTGGAGGTGGAGGTCAGCCGGAAGTCCAGAAATTCTAGCGAGTGCCCCTCCGCTGGGGCCATTCGTGCCTGAGTTGTCAGGCACTGCAGTCACTTTTAAAGGAACAAGACCGTGAGTTGGTTGGAAACAACCAAAACTATAACTGGTGTGAGTAAGTTCCCCCTCCAGATTTGGGTATCTTATCTTTTAGATCCAGTACCCAAGGGGATAACAACAAGACATCCACTTTGAGCCCCACCAGGGTGCACCTCAGGGTTGGGCTGCTTCTTGATATCAATTGCCCGACGCTCCAGGACGTTGCCTGCCCTGGTCAGCTCATCTGCTATCACCAAGGACCAGAAAAGAGAGCAGGTGTTTCCAGAGACCCTGACATTGGTGCAAAAGAACCAGCCATCGGTTGGTGATGGTGAGAGCTGGGTTCTGAAGGAGCAATGAAATTGTCACATACTCCAGGGTGCTCTCTCTGAGTTGGACTCAGAAGCCCTCCTGTTGCTCTCCCCCCAGCCCCCAAGAGCATGCTGGCCATGGCCCTCGGGCTGCACAGGTGTGTGCACACCTGCTGGCGTTTATGCTTTCATGAGGAGCTCAAGAAACTAGCGAATGTGTTGGCGGGACTCTGAGCAGCAATGGGAGGGAGTTGTTAGGGTAGGAGATAGGTAGTTGCCATTCCTAGGGTTCCTTTTAGCTTCCGGAAGCAAGGCCGTGGATGCCTGAGGT